ATGACAGTTGCGATTTTAATTATCCATTTGATTTAGAAATATAATCTTAAAATGGGAGAAAGATATTAAACATTTAAAAGCCAATCAACAGTTATGAACCAAATAATTGCATATATTTTTTTTAAAACTTACCTTTTACCAGGCTGTTTGCATACGATTACGAGTTAGGTTATAGGCATATTGAAACGTTTTTACAGTACATGTATCTGCGCGCTACCAATTTTAAAACATGCATTGGAAAATAAAACTCTGAAATAAAAAAAAAAAACAAAAAAAAAAACTTTCATCTTCATATATCTCAATAAATAGCTGAAAATATTTTACGTAGTCGTGCATTATAAGTCTTTAGTGATTAAAAGTCCAAGTATTGTTCATGATAGAAAAAGCATACTGTTAATTATTATATTTTTCTTAATTACAATATACAGTATTGGTTTGATTGAACTTTCTCTAATTTCTTTTCTGTAAAAATTTGAAAACAGAAAAACAACAAACTTACAATCGAATCTCATAGATTGTTATTATTCTCTCTCTCTCTCTCTCCCTCTCTCTCTCTCTCTCACATATCTATTTTTTTTAATTATTATTTTATCAATGTACAAGAAGGCCATGTGATTTGCGATAATATGTCACAGAAATTAGCACATGATCCGTGATTTTTTTTTTTTTTTTTTTTTTTAGAAATTTGTTCTTTACGTACAATGAATAACAAAGTACTGATAAGAGTATACATTGTATTATGTAACATGACTGCATAAAAAATCTTTTACAAGATCGAGGCGCATTCTTTTTTGCATTTCCAAATTATGACGTAATTTTCTATATACATTGCGTAAATTCTTCTATGACGTCATATGACTCCGGGAAAAAAGATAGGCCTTTACAGTGTGCGATATTTTTATCTAATTAAATGCCTTTGTTAAGAAACTCTGTCATTTTTACGTGACAAATAAAATTTTGCAATATATTTTTTAAAGTTTTCTTCCGTAAATGTATTTGTACATGCAGGCTTCATATTTATAGGTGTAACATGATAGTAAAATAAATTGCAAGTGCTCAAATTTTATAAGCGATTGAAATCGAGTTTTGCTGGGTTTTTTCAATTTTATATTTTCTTAAAAGTTCACGTGACAACGTAATACGAATTAAACATGGGATCCCCGATTTTACGAGTTTTTTTTAATTTTTTTTTTTGTTTTTTTTTACATGATACAGTATATAAATTTAATAAATGATTCTGTAACCCCCTCCCCCCTCACTTGTTCCTGTAAGATTTTAAAACAACAGATGGTTTTATAAATACTCTAGACTTCAAAATTTATTGCAGAGTTCATCTTCACGTAAAATTTCGAGTATGTCCATTAGGGCATTATATTGCACAAGTTGAAATGTTATTATTATTCGATAAACTCCAAAAGAAAGGGAAATAAAAATTGTGACATGAGCATCGTATTAATAGAAAAATTAATGACTTTTATCCCCCAAAGATACATTCAGATTAAAGTACCAGTCATATTTATAAAGTTATAGTAATATTTATAAGGCTACGTGTTTTTCTACGACAGCTATAGGACACACGTAGATTTTCACGTAAATCTGCGTCAAATCATAAGATACGACTTTTAGTAAAACACAAAATCAGCGTAAGTTACGGCTACGTCTACGCGTACGTCTACGTTTTGACTTACGACCTTTAGTAAAACTGCACCAAATAAGATACGTGAAGTAACATCAGCCATAGACTTAAAAATGCATAAGTACCTGGAGGGCCTCTGTCTTGTCTTCATCAGATACTACATTATTCACATACGAGGTAATAAGTGAAGCATAAGTCAACTCTCTCAGTAGAAGACTTGACTCGATCTATCTTCCACAACTCAGTGTTTGTCTTCATCATGGACTTGAACAATGTCGTCAATTTGTGAATTGTTCACAACTGGATAATTGTCACTTCTATGACTTACAAGATCCTCATCATCTGACTCTCTTGAGTGTTGATCATCTGAAGGTCGAATTCTATGGAACCTCGTAGACCTACTCTGTGAACGTGTAGCAGACGGTTTTTCAGTCTGTTTACTTGCGCCATGTACTAATTCTTTAGCTCTAGCGGCTATCAAATTTCACATGAAATATCCTGATACCGCTGCCACTGAGTTTCAAAATTTCCCAGCATGAAAGGGGGTAAACTACTCATTTGTGGTGGGGAAAACCCCTGCGCCAAATTGCCTCCATTTTGTCTCTCATCCGATAGAGGTTGTGATTCTGATACAGCTACGTTTCCCACAGAGGAAGCTTGTGAGTCAGATCAAGTGTTATTCCCCACAAAGAGAATTTCTGTTGCTAAATTTGACACTGTTGCCGATTTCTTACCAGATTCAGATTTCTTGTGTTCAATCATTTTATTCATCAACGTCCGTTTTTACTCTGTCCAAGTAATGCAAACTACACAAGGAAACGCTTCATTGCAGAAGCAATGTCTATAACATTCTGCGTAATCGTCTAAAACTGTCATTTCTCTATTACACTTCTTACATATTTTATACGAATCAGACATCATTAATCACAGGCTACTAAAAAATTTAGTCACAGAAGATAATACGCGGTTTTCTTCCAACAAATCTGAAGCGGAAGAACTATCGTATTATGGTTATACACAAAGTGTATGATACCACAGGGGTGGTCTCAAAAGTTCAGGTGAAAACGTAGGCAACCCGGGGAAAATGCAAAAAGCTGATACAGGTAAGTATAAATATTCATGTCAACTTAAAAAATCTCCAAAACACAAGGGGGACATATTTCACCACAACAGGTTAAAGCTGTACATTGGTGAGAATAAACCAACAGGATTTCAGAAATAAATGCTGAATTTGACATATTGATTTATTTACAATTATTGACATTAATTTATGCATAAATGAAATTTTTGAACTTACCTACGACTTCTTTTTCTTTTTGTACATTTCATGTCGTTGAGAGTTTTTCAGAGTATTAGGATCCTATAAAATACGGATCAGTAATGAAAAGATTGAGTTTTTACGTATTGGTAATTCACAACAGGTTGTGACCACTCGCCAAAATGGGATATAATAGAGAGGTTTAGCAAGCTCTCTTGTACGTGTACTTGTGCGTGTAAACTACATGTTAGAATTACACGTACACGTTAACATATTTTTTCTTGTTTAGCAAAGTATAACCTGTACTTGTACTTGTAAGTTTTTAAATGTAAAAGTAGTTTACATTTAAAAATCATCCGAAAAAGCAATGGTTTTAATACGTATATCAGCGTTTTATACAAATATATGCTTGTACTTATGAGAAAAAGATTGTACAGATTTCTTATATTTTCAATCGGTCAAAGCCTGTTTCGAAGATCTAGATGTTGTGATTTTAACTCCCTATCAATTAATATTTTTCAATTACTGACGTTCAGTTCTTTTTCAGTATTTGCATAAAATATTCGTTTTAGAAAAACGCACACTTTATGAAAAATAAACAGCAGTTAAAGGATTATAAGCTACAAGTTTTGACTTACGTGTACTTGGCAATCTACACGTAGCCTGTGTAAGAAGATACGTGTAAAAATTCGTCATTAGCAAAAGTGATGACGTAATGCACAGATTTCTAGTACTACACGTACACGCACGCGTACACGTTGGTTTGCTAAACCTCTCTAATAGTCCGTTTAGGATATAATATCCCAAATTGGATATAAATTTACAAAATGAATTTTTTATATAGGTAATAAATATTATAAATACGCTTCAAAAGAATAACTTTTGGTAAGCAAGTTTTCTTTCAATTTCCTAAACAATGGCCATATAGAAAAACTTGTCAACCGAAAATTATTCCTTTATATGTGTCTAGATGCGGATTTATGATATTTATAGCCAAAATAAAAGTTGTCATTTTTTGCAATGTATACATTGTATTTACATCCAAATTGGGATATTATATCCCAAACGGACTATTATATCTCATTTGGGCGAGTAATCCCAGCCTGCAGAAAACGTTTGATCAACGTAAATTTGAATTTGAACTGTGCAGTTGCATTAATTGTTTTCCCGACATTGCTGCAAAACAACTCAAAGATAACTCCACTTACAGTCAGATTATAAGATAATTATAACAAATATTCAAGTTTTACTTACTGAAAGTTGCATTTCGTCCATTTTTGCAAGTATTGTGGACAAACTTTGCGAAAACTCAGTGGCGCTTTCTCAGCATGAGAATTTGACGTCATGCTTTTTGTTAAGTCGTACGAAGAGATGTCATGAAATCTTCTTTCGTTTTAAAATTACGACAATTGCGTCGTGTTTATTGAAATCTAAGTATTGTACTAGATTGAAGTTTATGGTTTTTTACATATTAATTGTTTTGGTTTGAATTTGCTTATGATTAAGTGAACTTACATTTAAACTTGAATGTATGTTTGTGAAAATTTTTGACGCATTGTATTGAGAACTTAGCATAACTTTTTGTCCCTGTACAAGTAGTTGTTTGCTATAACGTGACATTTTTTTATATTTATACTCACTAAGTGAAGAAATCACTAGTTCAGTTTTTATTCAAGACCTACCGATATTAAGTTTATTCGTATTTACTAGAGGGTTTGTTTGATGGTGGTTTTCAAATTAACATATGTTGGAAAGGGTGGTTGATTTGTTTTTATTTTAGGTGATAAATACAGAGCCAAAGAAGAGTTTTTGTGTACATTTATTTGAATAAAATCTAACAAAATATTAAAAACAATTTATATCCTGCTGTCTTTTGTTCAACATTCAGTTTAAGGAGCCCCACAATCCTGCGCCGCTAATCATAGACAGCCGTAAGACGTAACGGTTAATTGACGGAAGTCGTCGATATATCGAAATGTTAATTTGAAGACCACAGCAAGTGTTTCTCAAAATTTTAAATAATGCATAACATTTCCCATACTTATACATGTATCATACATACATTTTAACACGTTTTGCCATTTTTATATCTTGTAACATTCTTACCTGGCAATGTTAAGCTTCTTAATATATATGTTCCTGAGAAGTGGTTGGATGCCAGTGTTGGTCTCATTGTTGTTATACCATATGTTTTCGCTTTCATTGGAGATGTTGTCATCTGTAGTGCCATTGAGAAGGTTCTTGTTGTAGGAGCGCTCATCAATTCCCTTGTTAAAGGGATTTTCCACTCTGTTGTGATTGTCTTCTTTGCTGTCAGTTTTTTTGTTGTCGAGGCAGTACTTGTTGCAGAAGTTGTTGTCAATTTTGTTGCTAACTTAGTGGGATATATTCTAACTGACGTCTTTGAAGGGATTGTTGTCCTTATCTTGGTAACTTTTGGCCTAGGTGTTGTCGGTGGTAAAGTGACTAAAATAAGTGAAAATTAACTGTCTGACAAATTTGTCGATGCTACCTGTACACACATGGAATATCTAAATAGTTACATACCTGTCCAAGAAAGACTAAATCCTTTTGCATTTAAAATTCTGTCAGATATAAACGATACTCTTATTTGATTCCCTTTTATGACAAGGGTCCAGTCCTTTAATTCACCACATCTTTTAAATGCAGTGAAGCAGCATTGATCTATCTCTTTAATCTACAAAATCTAACAATTGTATATGGGAAAAAAATATATATATTGTACAGAGAGAGAGAGAGAGAGAGAGAGAGAGAGAGAGAGAGAGAGAGAGAGAGAGAGAGAGAGAGAGAGAGAGAGGAAAAGAAGGAGAGACTTAATCGTAATTATTGCAGCTTTTTTATCCTTCTTATTGTGCCCAATACTGTGTTATAAATTTAAGATTAAAATTTAATAAAAGGTGAATTTTACCTCGAGATAGTCGTCACAAGGATTTGTGAATTTAATATTCATATCATGAACCCTAAATGTTACGTTAGCTGCAGTGTGCCCAGTCCATATTATCCAAGTGTAGTTTGCATTGTCCGGATAGTTGGCGGGGTATTCAGGTGAGGTAAACTGGCCCTTCTTTGTGTTGATGTTTTCCAAGAGAATATTTGATGTCAATCCATATTCTAAAAAATATGCAAAAATATAACATAACAAATTCCATTTGAAACTAAAGAATTATTTCTCATGATTTTATCCTTTACCAAAGCATAGGGCAGTTGTCAATGGGATCACTAAAATGTTCATCTTTCTTATTTGGTTAATTTTTCAAAATAGATTGCAGTAAAGAAATAATACTTTAATTTCATTGTCATGGAGCGGGAATTACCCACGGAAAAACTTATTTTCCTGAATAATAAGTGATATATATCTTTAACATTTTATCAGGAACTACCGTAGTTAAAGATATTGTTGTTAAAATGACTTTTTAATGATATAATGGTTCGGAATTTCTTTTCCCGTCTGGTTTCAGAATTGTGACCCATGCAGCCATTCTATTGCAAGATGTATTTAATTTATATCTTAAACAAGAGGTCTTTGTCAAGACTAGAGCTATACTGGTTTGAACGTATAACAAAGGAAATTGATAAATGCTCTTGCGTATTAACATTATATACTCCGACTTGAAAATTTGCAACAGCAATTAGTAGAATAATGGTCTCTATTTGGTTTTATTGAAATCAGACAATAACTGTATATCGGAGGGGAAATTAGCATTTTAATTGAAAAAAAAAAAATGTTGACAGACAGACAGACAACAGACAGACAGAAGGTCGACTGAGCGCTAACTATCGCTTAGCTCTTCCTGTCATTGATCAGTTAATCTTCGTATGCCTTAGCTTCATAACAAGGAAATAAATAAACATTCGTGATCATACATTTAAAATGTTGAATTTTCCAGGAAATTCTTGGACATTATTCAAAACTTTAATATGTAAGCGGGTTATGTAATTTTTATCTGCAATAGATGCAACGGCTTATTCCAGTACTAGTAAAAAAAAGAACCATTTTATATACTAGTAGGTTATATTTCATGTCTGTATAAATTGTTTAATAAAAGAAAGCTAATATACATTTTGTTGAAATTCTCACCCCACAAAATTCTTTGGTAGTTCAGACACACTTGTGTACGTATTTTCTGAAGTCACTTCATCAGTCAAGCAGGTCTCGGACTCCACTAGCCTGTTCCAGCTTGTTAATGAGTGAAACCAAAATCTGAAATCGACTTTGTACTCTGCTTTTCAGAATATAAATATATGCTCCATCTACTTATGCACTATTTTACTGAAATCTGTCATTTGAATGAGATTTTTCGTCTTTAGAGAGTACACAAAATTACTAGAACAACCATGTAAAATATCATATCCACAGGTACATATCGAGGAGTGCCCAGTACACAGGTCAGGGCTGTCTTGTTGAAAACTTCATGGTCTCTCACTTTATTAAACTAAAAATCTATATTTTGAAAGAACACGAAACCAACACTTCTTTTCTGGCTAATTAATAAATAAATCAGCGATTTCTGTTCTGTTAAATTCTTCATAATATAAGATTTTTATCATTTTTATGAGTGATGTTGAAAAGGACTCGTAAGACAGCCAAAATCTTATTTAGAATGACATATTCTGTCGACCTATTGTCTATGTTGCAGGACTGTTAAAAGGAAAACACTTCTCAAATAGGCTAAGAACTCAGAAATTATGCAGAACAAGACTGTAGATCTACGAGTTTGTAATAATGAAAAACGGAAGAGAAAAGAGCACTGTGACTAGAAAATTTGTAACAGTAATAAATAGAAAAAAAGATCCTTGATTTAGTCTCTTTTGTGTCATGATTGCAATCAGATCAAAACTGTAGGAGGAGTATCCTTTTAAATGATTTCTGCAGAAATTTCGAATTAAGTTACTTTGGCAATATCACTCATCATAGTCGCAAAGAAATATAGACCTTTGTTTAACTCACTTTAATCTGTGGAATGTGAAATTGAAATCAGACTAAAGGTATTAGAGGAGAGGCCTAAAACTGTTGGAGGAGAAGTGTTTTTAAAATATATCACAGAAAGATTTATTTCAGTAACTAAGGCAACACTATTTATTGAAATCAAAAACGGTTAAAACGAATAATGCACCTTTGTGTACATGTAGTTTACATGTGAACCAAATTATATTGATATCAGGCCAAAAATGTAGAAGTAGCAATTTTAAATTACAGTGGACCCTCAGATATCCGGACGCCAGATATCCAGATGCTTCAGTATCCGGACGATTTTTCATCGGAACGGAATTCTTAAATGTTATTTTGTCTTGTTTAACTGGTGATTCAGGTATCCGGAAACTTCACATATCCGAACAAATTGACAGGGAACCAAAGCGTCCAGATAAATGAGGGTCCACTGTACTGGTATTTAACGAATTTTATATTTTTAGTAACTACGACAACACCGTTCATCGAAATCAAAGACTGATGTATCTTACTGCAGGTAACATATGTGCCAAGTTATATAAACATAATGAAATACAAAACAGACAATTTTAAAAACAAAGTCAACAGACTAGTTTGCAAAATCAACAGACTCCGATGCAAAACCAACGATCACCAATGCAAAACCATCGATTATTCACTGAATTAACGCTAGATGGTGTGCAAAAAAACATACATTACCTGAATTAACGCTAGATGGCGCGCAAGTTTTTCTACGTCATCATTATGTATTTTCATAGGAACGAAAATCCCGCAATTATCTATCAGGATCCAAACCACGGAATGTATTATAGAATATATTATCGGTATCGAAATCATATATATCGGAATATATAATAGGAGATCATATACTATATACAGTATATATCCATTTTTTTCTATTAGATTGACTCTGTGCTTATATTTTAGGGAATGACATGAGTAATTTAAAGTATATAAAGAAAAGAAATTAAGGCAAGATGTATGTGTACCCATATCTCTCTTTTTGTTTTGCTTAAAAATAAGGTGAAGGAATGTAGGACAGCGATTGCACCAGGTTTGGGGGATACTGTTTTCGGAGAAATTAGGAAAATCAGTAAGGGGGCCTGGGGACATAGAGCCTGCATGGGGGGGGGGGGGGGGGGGGGTGAAGGCCTCTGACTGAAGTTGAATTTGAGCATTTTTATGGCCATTTAGAGTGCATAAATTGCAACGCAGAACCATTTTCTGTGTAAGTCAAAATGCACATGTGACAAGGTCTACTGCGCATACCATGGCAAAGATGCCACCATACCTTGCATGTACAGGAGTACAATTAAGTCTCTTCCTTGTAGCCCTTAGGTGTAAATTTCTTTTACGGTTTCAACTACACTGAAAGGAAAAAGAAACGCACAGTAAACTTTTGAATTAATTTAAAACCATTTTTTCAAATCATATCTTCCAGATTTATTATTAAACATTTTTATTCATATTTAATCATCAAGTTGCCAAAATCATATAGAATTTAACTGAAAATTTATGAGTTATTGAAATTGATATGTCGATACCCCAAAAAATTAAAAAAAAACTTATCATCTCCTTTGCGCATCGATAACAGCCTTGATTCTCCTGTGCAATGAGTTCATCAGATCATTTATCTTTCTCATAGGATTATTATTCAACCCTTCTGAGGGTAGCTCTAATGGTTGAGTAGCTGTATCATTGTTAGGCAAACAAATCCCCCGCCCAATGAAGCTCACGAATTTTTCGATTGAGGATAGAACTTACAGAATCCAGCTGGTTTGGTACACGTGAATTTTTGTAAGAAAGTTTCGTCAAAACCAATTATGAAAATGTTCACCAATTTTGAACTTAAAATATCTCCACGCTTCTATTATTAGTTAAATTGACTTTAAACTGTGTCTGAAATTTATTTCCAAGTTGGAAATAAATCGGTTATTGTTTTAAATCTGTGATATCTATGAAACACAATTTATTTAATTTGTGTAATGTACAGGAAAGTCCTATCTTTATATAAAGTAACAAAATAAATTGAAAGATCTTTTTCAATTTTAGTTAGTCTGATCTTATAAAAAAATACGCCTTAGATCACTTTAAGGTCAAGATCTAGTAAATGAAGGGTGCCTACAGATTTATCAAATTTGAGAAATATATTCCTTTGTTGATGCTTTACAACTTTAGCTTGGTCATATAAGGTGTTTCGGGTCATAATTTGTAGGGAAACAACATGAAAAACTGTATTTTAATCTGTCATTTTCAATGAAAAATTAAGAAAAACGGTCATGATGAAGGGAGTTTTTTTCGTATTCGGCAAAGGAAATGTATCCAGATTGCCTACAGTCTCTCAGAAAACGATAATTAGTATGTTCATGGCCTCTTCTTTAAATTAACATCAAATTTAATATAGGTATCCGGTTTACTTTTGGTATGATTTCGAATTGAATGACATGAAAATACCCTATTTTCTACATAATTCTGCTAAAGCCATAAAGTACGGGAAAAAGAAAGTTGAAATTGATTATGACGTCATAATGGATCTAGCACCAAAAAATTAGTCTCAAGTTATTTACTAGATCTTGACCTTAAAAGGTATAATACACACTATAGTTTTCTCAGAGCATTTACTAGATATTTTTAGTGTTGTTTATCTCTTAGATTTGATATCTAACTAAATTTTAGGTTTTAAAGATTTACCTGTCAACATTGAGGATTTTGACTTGACGTTGCTGCCAGGAGTGTTGTCTGAGCTGTCTTTCTTTTTACTTCGGTATACGTTGTCTTCCTTGGTATTATTGAAGATGTCAACGATGGTGTTGAAGCAATTGTTATTATTAAAGAAGGAATGGTTTTTAGTTTTGTTGACAGAGCAATTGTTGTATATATCGTAGAAGTGTTTTTTTTTTACTTTGTTTTTGTTGACGTACTTATTGTAGAAGGAGTTGTTGTCGATGTTGAAGTTATTTTTGTTCCAAGATTTGCTTTCAATTTTGTTGTCTTCTTAGATGGATATATTCTTCTGGTAGTCTTTGGAGGGATTGTGGTCGACTTTGTTGTAGTCCTCGGCTTTATTTGTTGTGCTAGTGATTGAATTAAAGTAGATACTATGTGACGATGTGACAGATTTGATTTTAACTATATTTCTTGAATACATTTATTTTACATTTATTCTAGAAGAGATTTCCCATAATGCATTTTTATGATTTTTTTTTAATGTAAAAAGTTAAAGTTTACTTATTTTAATTTTCCAGTGTAACATGCGAACTGTGATTGGTTGATGAATTGGTACGCGATGTTTCTGATTTCTTAACATATGCGACATTTTGTAGGATTAAAGAGTTGTATCAATAGTACGCGGAGATATTAGATTTACATTGAATATCATTGTATGTTTCTTTGTTCTGTGGATCAGCT